CGGGGAGTGTAACCCCCTGAACTGGTATAAAATATAGTTTAGGCCTAGATTAGCTTTCCCACTCTAAAACGAGCATGTACTTAAAAACTACCTTAGGACGCCGGGATGTTAGCATGTAACGTGTTGATTGGCCGTGTTCTGTGCTCTTAAGTAGCTGAAGGATAAAGTTGCCTGTTAATGTTGATACAAGTCAGGTGTTTGAAGTCCAGCAAATGCCGTTGTTAACTGTCTTCCTCAATAGAGTACAGTAACAGTTAATAAATAACAGCCTCATTACTTAAATTGAGTAGTGTGTTCACAAAACATCGCAGCATGGGTATCTCCTTTGAGCCTTGTTCAAGCTGTTACACAAACCCTACGTAAAAGTACATACACGCAAGGACATGAGGGCAGGTTTGGTGTAATGGAAGCACTAGTTTTTGACAAGACCATTTTTAAAAAATGCTAGTATTTATATGTCCGGTAAAAGGCTGTAACTCTTTCAAAGACACACACTGCTTAAGTATCAAACATATCCCCCAAACTCTTAGTCTTGTTATTTCCAGGTTCTCCTTCTAACTTGAAATTGAACACATAGAAAATGTTAGTAGTTGGCACTGGTATCTCCTATTTATTTACTAGTAAGCAAAAAAGTTTCCAACTGTTTTGATATCAAACCTGTACTCCAATTTTACTTGATTTTAAAAAGGAGAATATAAAACAATTGCGTTGAGAAATTTTTCTTGACAAAGCTTTGCTTAACTCGGCAGTCATACATTTGGGGATTATGTAGCTTGTTTATAGTTTTAGCTATCTTTTTAATATTTCTTTTTCAGGCTGAAGCCATTCAACAGACTGCAAGTAATATTACAACATTTGGTAAGAACAGCATCTTATTTGACTTGAGTTGGAAGCTTTTAGTACTCTTAACTCCTCCAAGGCAGACAGTATATGCAGCTTCTAATGTGTCTGCTCACATCGTTTATTGCTCAGGCATAACATTGCCTATGTCTCTGAGCACTTTGTTACAAGTTTTTATTATACTGTAAGTTAAAGTTTAATTATTTTGGCCTTACCTGCTTTTACAGTTAGTTTCTATGATAGCTTCCATATATTCCTGAAATATCATTCAACTGTGAGTTTTAAATTAATTGTGAAAATAGTTTAGTGATTTGTTCTCTACTGTTAAAAGTTATTTACAGACAAAGCAATTTGGTTTTGCAGTGTGAAACTGCCAGGAGGGACACATGGAGCTGTCATTGTTATAATTGTTGTAGGTATTTTCAGAATGTCAGGTCTTAAAGAACCATGGTTTTGTGTTTTCTTTTTTTTTTTTTTTTTAAAAAGAACTCAAATGTCATTGTCAAAGAGTGTGTGGCTCAAAAACTTGTCCGAGGGTTATTACTCTGAAAGACTCATAAAAAGGTTTCAAAAGAACTGTTTACGAAATGCAAATAAATATTGAAGTACAGTGGGAAAGCCTTAGCATACAATTCCAAAATGCATGTTTTATGATCTTAAATAGTGCGTTTTAAGAATATATTTCCATAAACACTCCTGTAAGTATGTTACTGAAGGTATCTAACGGATAACATTTGCTTTATTTATTTGTTTTTGCATGTACAGAAAATGTCTAAGCATACAGATTCGACAGGTGAAGTGTTGTTGGAAAAGAGAGGAGGTGCAGGAATAATAACTTTGAATAGACCCAAGGCTCTCAATGCACTAAATCTTTCTATGATCCAACAAATTTATCCACAAATAAAGGTTAGTAGCTCTGCTTCTACCCCATCCGCTATACATACGTTATCCAAAACTAGTTTTAAAATTTAGTCTGACACTTCTTGGTGTACTGATTTAAAGAATGAAAGTCTGTGTGAGTGCATTGGCCAATGAGCTCAGATTTAGAGGATGGGAAAGAACAGACAGTTTCAAGCAAGTTTGACGTGTCTTTTCCTCTTTCTAAGAAACAAGCTGTCAGACAAAGTTAAATTTAGCATCTGGATAGATAAGAGACACCCATTTAAAACCAGGACTGAATTAAAAGCAAGCAGCGCTGAAAGTTTATATGTTCCTTTTGGCAACACCCAGCTGGTCAGTCGGCATGCACGAATTCCAAGCTATACAGTGGTGTTGCCTCTTGATTGGGTGCATGTTTTGTGGGGAGGCTGCATGGCTGAAAGTCATTAAGAAGCAAGGTGCTGTCAGTGTCATTCTGTAAAGAACAACTTCATGGATTTACAGGCACTGTTTCTACAAGCTAGTGAAGTAATGTGAAATTTTAAGCATGCAAATAGTCCTTTTTAATTTAATGATACTATTTATCATATGCACAAAGTCAAACTTATTAGATACCAGTATTTGTTGGATAGTTGCCCACCTTTTGGTATTTTGGTAGATGGTTGTTGCAAATTTATGCATTCTTTGAAGAACATTTAAAGAAAAAAATACTTAATCTGTAGTGCTGAGTACCAGGCTTTATTTGAAGCACAACCTTAAAAGGGGGCATAATTTTAAGTACAGTTGCTGGCTTGTCTCTTTTATCTGGCTATACTTACTTGAACAAGGGATATACAAGCACAGTTTAAGGGGGGGAAAAGCCTGTAAAAGGCATCTTTTCTCAATATGGTTGCACTACTGCTGAAGTCTTGTACCAGTGTATTTAATTCAGAACATGCCCCCCGTCTTTGTACCTAGCAAAACATCTGTGCACAAATTGATTTGATCCAGTCCTTGATTAGCATTGATTGCAGTCATTTTGACAAAATCCATCAACAATTTAAATGCTGTTTTCCTTGCCATGCATCGTAGATTTACACAACTTTCATGATTTGGCCTGAAACACTGTTGTTATATCTTGCATGTTCCCAGCTTTCTGCCCCAGCATTGTGTTCGCACTGAGATTTAGGATGGGCCCTGTTTTAGGGAGTGCTACCTTTCTTCAGAGATTGGGAGCTCTGCATAGGCGTTTTTCTGAAATACACGAGGCAGCTCTGCTGATTTCTGATGTCAAGATTGAATAGGACACAGGAGTGGCAGAAAGACATCTAGCTCTCAAACTTCAGTTTAAGACGAACTATTTTAAGTATGGTTTGATTGGCTTTTTTGGAAAAATAAAATAAGAATTATAGACAGTATACAGAGAAAGCATTTTTTGCACAGACTTTAATCTTACATGGAAATATTTACTTCTTTTTAGACTTGGGAGCAAGATCCTGAAACTTTCCTAATAATTATAAAGGGAACTGGAGGAAAAGCTTTTTGTGCTGGGGGTGACATCAGAGGTAAGGACTGTAGTCACTTAAACATTTGACATATCTTTGCCAGTTACTGCTTTGCATTGATTTCCTTTATTTACTGTGACTCAGGTAAACAGAGGCTTGCTACACAACAGTAAGAGAGATTAGTTGTGCTGACTTCTTATAACACCTTGATGTGCAGATGCTATTTAAGTTATTTGTCGGGAGACATCTATCAGAACATTGTATAAAAGAGTAAAAATTGGGTTTTTTATGAATAACTGGTAATAGCAGCCAGTCATTCTTGGGAAGAGAGGTTCTTGTCTCTACCTTCTTCTTCCCAGATTTTCATTACTGACAGCTTCTTTACAAGACATTTGAAGGGTCCTAATAGATACCTCTGTTACTACTGGATAATTTGTGTCTGATGTTTGAGATGGCTAGATACAGAGCTGACAATGGTGATCAATGTATCTGTGATTATTTTGTAACTATGTAGGAAGTCTCCAAACTGTGAAAATTAGCAGTTATTTAAATTTTAGGTAAACAAGAAGCACAGGTTATTGTTAGATTATGCCCTGCCCTAATTGGCTTCTCATTTTTAGTATGCAGTGTCTTCAGTATAATCAGTTTTAAGTGGTGTTCTATATATTGATATGAAATATCACAAACAAGACTACCAGACATTAGGAGGGGTTTCATAGCGTACAAAATAGACTGCACTCTCAAAAGAAGTATGTGACAAAGCCTCCAGCATAATAAAATTGACTCAAATTTGCAACTTCACGTCCATATTTAAGTTTGAACAAATTTTCTCAAATAAAATGAAGCAGGATTAAGTTGCTGTTTGATTGCTGAAGGAAAAAAACTGTTATCATGTGATATTAATTTTTTTACTTGTTATTGTATTTTCTATTAAACTTACAGTTATCTTTAGAATTTTTATTTCTCTTAAGCCATCACAGATGCAGGAAAAGTTGGAGGTAGACTGGCACAAGATTTCTTCAGAGAAGAATATATCCTGAACAATGCCATTGGTATGTTTAATAGCAAATTCTGAAGCAGTACAGTTTTCATAATAGTGGCTTTGAATGTAAATTCACTTTCTTTCTTTGCTAACCTGTAAAAGGCTGCCGTAACATAACAGAAGTAGTAATTTTTTTTTTTACTAAGTTCAATACCAGTAGTGTAACATACCTCGTTTTTATACTTTGCGTGCAGAATTTGTTTCTTTTGTTTAAACTATTACGATAGCTACCTCATCCCATCCCATTTTTCTGGGTAGTTATATTTGTACTATGGATGAATTAAGTCTTAGACACAGTCAGTGCAGTTCTGCACAAGTATCATTGATCTACTTTGAAGAAGACCTGAGATGAGAATAGATGCATGGAAAATCATTAATATTCAGTCAGAAAGCAGAAGATCAAATTATGTTAAAGCTTTCTGTTTAAATAAACTGCATAAATGAATACTCAAGCTAGGAGTTAACTGCCTTAATTTATTGCAAAGAACCTCGGAGTATGTGGTCTTAAAATAACTAACAGCAAAGATACTGGGTAAAGTTTACTAGGGTAAAGGATATTCAGAAAGGATATTAATTCTTTAGGGTGAAAGTCAAGAGTTGAATGTTTTGGTGAGAAGAAACTTCTCCAAACATACTTTAATTGAATACAGTTTGAGTTTTTAAACATTGTATCCAGTATTAGTCACTACAGGAGGAAAGGTAAACATGTTGCATATCAACTTAAGCTGACAGAAGAGCATAGTTATTAGAGTAAGAATAATTTCTGAAAAGTTATTTTTACTTTGTTTGACAGAGTTTCCAGTTCTAGCATGTTTGTCATGTGCTTTTCTTGCCTTCATCAAGAAAAATAGTTTAAGGTTTCATGTACTTGGGAAAAACTAGTATTATCATGGCAGTTGGACTAGATGATCTTTGTAGTTCCCTTCCAACTAACTATTCTAGTCTATTAAAATATTGCAAGGGTACATACTTTAAAAGTTTTGGGTTTTTTAAATGATTAGGGTGTTCCATGTCTATAATGCATGTAATTACAAAACCTAGATTTTTTATACTTTGGTATGATTGTATTCATTTAAGACTGAGACTTCTGCCAAAAACATTTATTTATATCTTATATTTTACAACTTAAAAATACACAGGGGAGCTGCTTTCACAGCATTTGCTATTGGAATTTCTGTAGAAATTTAGTAGAAATTTAGTTCAAAGACTAGCATCTAGAGCCCATGCATTAGCTTATATGTTCATGTAAGAACAAAGTTAAAAATGCAATTCCATTGTATTTTCTAACTACTAATTTGAAGGATTGAACTGCCTTTTAAAATAGTTCTTTTTTTAAACAAGGATCTATAGTTGCTGCAGAAAAGCTAGCAACATGTTGCAGTGAATACCCATATCAGCAATCTGACTGAACTTTAAGTCTGACCTGAAAACACTGAATATGAGGCAGTGGTTTCATTCACAGTGAACTTCTGAATCTTTCCATGAATGGTAATAGAAGGCATCGGGTCTTTAGTTTCATGCCTCCTAAAGGCCCCAACAGATAAAGTTGTAGCTAAAACTGTGGTACTTTAGGACATTATCATCTTGACCTGCCTGCGCCACATTCAGTATTGTAACATGCAACGCAGTTGGCAAGACAGAACACGTTTGCATTGCAGTAGTTATAGTCACATTTTGGCTGAAACCTACCAGTGCATTTGGCTTTGTAGTAAAGTACTGGAGTGCTGGTACACACTCCGTGCTGTTAATCCAGGCTGTGAGATGGGGTGAAAGGGAAACTGTTGTGTTCCAACATCCTACAAAGCTATTTATAATAGCCAGATGTGGCTAAATTGTCAGGTACTCACATAGCAAGCAACATGACGTTTGATGGTTGTATAGTGTTCTCTTACAACACTCAGAATGCAGTAAGTCAGTAACTGGTGTTTCTTTTCATTGCTTAAGAATTACATGAAGTACCTTCATTATAAGTTGATATTTTACTGTTTAAGTCACCATTTATTTTCTGTTGCTCTTGCTGAAGTAAGACATGGGGAAATATGTCATGTATACAGTTAGTCACAGGTCCACTCTTTTGAAAAAAGGTACTTTTTTTTTTTTTTTTTTTTTTACATTCCTTACAGGCACTTGCAAGAAGCCATATGTGGCACTTATCGATGGCATTACAATGGGAGGGGTAAGTTATGTACCTTGGTGTGATATCTGATATAATTTCTTTTAAAGTAATGTAATATTCTGTACTTGAGTTGCGTGAAGTGCACACAGGGCATTTCAAACATTTCAGTTCAATAACAAGCATTGTAATCTGAACATTTGTCTCTTGCTTGTCAAAGTAGATTCTAGTGCTTCTGCTGTTCTTTGGTAGCTAGTGCAACTGCTTTCTCTGAGGATCTGGCAACTGTGTTGAGAAAAAGAGCAGAATTGTGTCACTGTAGGAGACACCCCTCACAAAGGTTTTCAGAATACTGAAGTGTGAGTTTGTAGATCATACAAGAACTGAGATGAATTTTCCACTCAAAGTGTATTAAAAAATAGAACTATATAAAAATCAATTAAAGGACAACTCTCTGAAAAAATGGAAAAATACCATTCTAAGCTATACTTTAACAAACATTCATGAGTTCTGTGTTTTTCCAAAAAATAATCTGGAAGTGCATCTACTTTCTCACCTCTGCAGTACTCGTAAAACATGAGTTATAAGATCCCGATTCTACCGCACCCCACCAAGGCCACACCTTATTACTAAAGCAACATGGAGAAGACTCCATCACGTTGCTGGTTATACTCAGTGCTAATAATTGTTTCAGCAATTGTTGGCTCTAAACACCATGAGTAGGTAGTTAAAAGGGCAATACCATGATTTTCTACATGCTAAAATGCTATTCTCTTAAATTTGACATCTGTTGTATATATTTGCATCATAGCAGGGAGTAGAATACAATAATCTTAAGTTACTTTGAACAATGAGCTTGACAAGTGAAGTCTGTCTGTCATATTGTCACTTAGATTTACATTGTTTTCTTGCACGTCAGTATGATATAGGTGTACAGTCTATTTAAATTAAGCTTGTCAAAAACAGGACACGAGAAGTGGAACACTACATGATCTATCACCTGTCATGACTCTTCCCTTTCCATCTTTCCTTGCATGTTTCATGTTGTGTATTTCAATTGTGTTTTTTTCAGCTTGTGATAGAACCATGCAATAGCTCTCTTCCCTTCATTTCTCTGCTACCAGCTAGATAACCATCCCTGCCCCCCGCCTCCCCAATCTAGTATACATAAATTGTTTGCAGCATAAAGGGGACTAGTCTTGTAGCTCTTCTTGCAGAAAAAAGTTTTTTATTGAACATAGGAGACCTGAAGATTTGTGGATAAGAGATAGGGAGTCCATTTATTTTATGGAGTTTTGAATAATAGCATGGATAGCTATGAAAGAACAAAACTGCCCAGCAGCTGATGTCTTTTTAGAGGTCCTATAGATTGCTCATTATGTTTGTGGCCTAAGCAGGAACACAATTTTGTCCTTTGAAAGGAAAGTATTTTATTGGACTGAAAAGAGCATAATGCAGTCAGATGATCCTGCATTACTAAGATTCTTTATTAGTTCCCTTTTTTTAAAAAGCTTTTAAAAGGCAGCAGTTAGTCTGAAATTTTAGTTGGATACCCAAATTTCAGTGGGACCTTGACAGAGTTTAACTGCCATTAGAGTTTGAATGACAACTTACTTGCTTATCCTCAGTTTGATGATACTAGTAGCAGTTATCTTCATTTGGGGATAGGGGACTAGATTTTGATTGAGCAAGTATGCAACCTAACATAGGGAAACAAGTTCCAGACTACTTTTAAATACTTTTTTTTTTCAACCTTGAGTGCTATTTAATTTGCACTTGTTAATACAGCTGCAGTTTACTCCGAGATAATGTCCTTCCTACAGGAGCACATGTTTTCATCAACACACATTTTTTTTTTCCTTCCCCTCTGTCACTGGCAGTACATGGAAGTATCTACTGATAATTTAACAAAGGAGGTCAGCAGTAGTATTTCTCAACACCGATTAATTTTTGTGTATGTGTTTTGTGTTAGTTTTGAGTTGTCTTCTATGCTTTTCCTTTCAGCCACCTCCCCTGTCTGTAAGATTTGTTCTGATTCCTCTAAATGGACCAATGCTTACATAGGAAAAGTGCATTAGCTCCCATCTTTCTCCACCCTCTTCAGCACTGGGAGGCCCATCGCAACTGACCTTAACCAAACTTAAGGCTTTCAGCAGCTGTTTTCTATTGTGCTACAAATAGGTTCATTGCAGTGAGATTTTATAGATTAAAACCACTAGAAGAGCCCTTGAACTTGTCATGGTCATGCTATTACCTTGTTCTGCTTGCTGTGTGGAAGTACTCTGTCCTACTGTAATTATTCACTAGACCTGCATTCATACAAAGGAGTTATTCTATACATATATATGTATCATTAGATGCTTTGTTTTAAATCACTCAAATGCTAAGATCTATGTTTTTGACACAATCAGGTCAAATTTCATCTATTTCATATGCTCAAGATCTGGCTATCTTCATCCCTACAAGTCAGTGGGACCTAGAAACATTTGTCAATTACAAACTACAGTAAATGCCTTTAAAAAAAATTTACATTCAAGCCCTTGGCTTTAGAAGCAAATGGTTTTAGCTTAGGCTTAAAAATCAAGGGACACCTCTTAAACACTGCAATTTCACTATAGACCATTTATCTATGAATGAAAATGCAAGCAAGTCAATCTCAACCTTGCTCAAAAAAGCAGCACTACACACATGGAGTGCTCTGTTGTTCTAATTTAAAATAAATTAGAAATCACACAGTGTATTAGAAACTCAGTTATTATGTGCTTAGGTAGTAAAAGTGGCTACTGATGCACAGATAGCAGATTTGTGATAAAACTTGGAATTGTATCAAAAAAATGAAATGGTTCCACTTCAATATTGTCTAGAGGCTGGTAGATGCTTTCTTCAGAGCTAATTGCCAACAGATGGGGCTGTGGAGCTTGCTTTCTGCACCTTCTTGTCTATACTCCTGTAGTTCATAAAAAAATTGATATTCACTATAAATGTATCTTTTCATCTTTATGGTTTATTCAGAGCAGTAGGTTCAAGTGGCAGGTATGTTTGATGAAGCAAAGATGACTGCATTTTACTAAAAAATAGTGAAAGAAGTTATTAATACCATATTTACTGCTAAAGGGCATATACTGTTGAAGGGCACGGTGGGCACATACTCTCAAGTTGCTAAAAACTACTATTCAAATTATTTTAGTTGAATTCTATCCGTAGATTTTTATTTCCTTGAAATTAAATACCTGAACAGTAGACAAAAAATGCAGAGTATTTAGATGTACTTTTTTTTTTTTTAGAAAATGTTATTGTCTGTAAATGAGGTCCTAAACTTGGGCTTCTTGGTTCTAGAAAAGTCCCAATCTTTTCCTGAGTTCTTTGGAGATGAATAGCAGTGTGCTTTATAAGCTCAGTCTAAATCTATGGCTTTAAATAGGGCTTTGGCACAAAATACATTATGGTGTCAGATGCTCTCTCTAACAGACTAAAAGGATTAATAAAAATGTATTTTAAACATGTTTCAGAACCAAAGAAAGTACACTAGACAGATTTGAGTGGTGGCTTTCGGATGACTTGGCTTAGAATTCAAAGTGAATATTTGACAGCAAAAATAAAAAGAAATACAGGGCATAGACTTTGGCAGTTAAATGAATGTGGTCCAGGTCACTGGGCTAACATTATGTAAACTGTACTTAAAACTTTAGTGGCATATTGCCAAACCAGAAGTACATCATTTTCAGGAGCCAAAGGCCGTTGCTTTTAGTTTAGGGAGGAATCTGTGACAGCGTGTACAAAGTACCTTCTTCCTTAGTATCGTATTCTAGAGCATGCATGATTTAGAAGCTTCCTGAGCTAGGCTTTATTTCAGAACCACAGTGCTAAATAACCATCAGTAATCATACTCACCTCTCTATTCATCTAGTATTTTTTTGTCATTAAGTAGGCTTGGTCTTCAGAAAGGCATGCTTAAAGAGATAAAGGTCACCCAACCTTATTTCCATCCCTGACTCCCTTGGATTCTAGGGCCCAGTTTGTGAGAGTGGTAACAGTATGCAGTACTGACTGCTTTATTCTCTCCCCAGTAGAGAAGGACCTTGGGTATATGGACTGCGAATATTAGAAGACAACCTGTTAATTTGGGTTCCTGAGGGGCTTTCCATTAGTTTTGTCAACACACCTAGCAGTACAGTTTTTTTAGGCAAGGGCTTTTTCTTAAACTGAGAGTCTACATCTAAGTTACTTACATAGACTATCTTTAAGGTGATTCTACTGTATTAGAGTAGAATTTTTTAAAGTACTGTTTGAGTGTGTATTAGTCACTTAGGTAGTAACGTCAAATATGTTAAGCTTTAGACTATACAGAAGTATAGTCTGAGAGGAGCCTTAGGATTATACTTTTGCACTGGAAGTAGGGTTACATATAGCTAGATGATTGCTTAGCAGATTTTTGCCTAATGAATTCAGAACTCTCCAACAGCAGTTCTGTTTTTTCTAGATATCCCACCTGAGTGCTTAGCTATTCTTTCAAGTTAAGATTTCCTAGTGTCTAATTTAAGTCTTTAGTATGTGTAATCAATATATTCCTGTCTTAGTCACAGCTCTCTAAGACCATTTTGAGATACTTGCATTCCTTGCTCCCAGCCATCTCTTTTTAATAGGGATAAGGATAGTTATTCAGCCTTTACTATAGATTAAGTCTCTTGGTCTTCATGCAATCCTCTGGAATCTTTCCAATTTGTGTACTTTACAGTTCATTACTAGAGACCAGACAATATTTCAGCTGGAGGACTCATCAGCACCAAGTAGAGCAGAATAATTATCCCCCATATATTACACAGTTATTCTGTCACAAACAGCTTATGTAAATAGCAGCCTCTCAAAACATCAGGTGCTAGGAGGCCACCACTTCTAGTTATTCGTAAAGCTATTACTCTCACCTCTTTCCTCCTTGCATAATACAAACTTCCATCACAGTACATTTCCTTATTGCTTACCTTTTACCAACTTTTAAATCTTCTTCCTTGAACAGAACTTGTTTGTCAAAGAGTCAATCTTGTGGGGCTACCCTTTTCCTCAAA